CGCCTGGTTGGCTAAATATAGAAATGATACAATTGTTTAAATTAGAAAAAAGGCACGTTCGCTAAACTCATTTTGCACATGAAAATCGTGCTCATAGGAGGATTTTATAACAACGAATTTCCAGGACACTCAAAATTAAATTGTTAAATTTAAATTAAGCGTAAATTAATTCAATTTAATTTTAGTTTCGATTGAAATGTAATAGCACGAAATCAAAGTAAATAATAAACTATTGTAATGAGCACACTCATTAATAGATGTCAATAACTTCTGACAGGAAGAATGCAAGAAATAATAATAGATATGAAATTTCTAGATTTTTTCAATGGCTCTAAAAGTAGTTGCATTTTACCCATAAACTGTGGTACGAATAATTTAATTTTGACTTTTAAACTTATGTGTCTACTAATTATTTAACAAGTAGGCTTATTTAATTGTGGGAAATTGGTTAGTCAGATGCAGTCATGCCATTTTTGCAACATTTTCTGATATTCAATTTATCCCTGATAAACCCATTTACATTCCTCTGTGTTAGAGAGTGGTTAGATTTCCGGATGAAATTTTGTGTCTTAACTCACACTCCTTTCCTACTTTTGTGTTTTCGTATAACTCTTAAATTCTACAATCCTTGTAATATTCATCTATTTGTTTATAAACAATTCTTGTAATCAGTATTGCATCAGTATTACAAATAATAACATAACTTGTGTAATGACTAACTTATGCTATTGCTGTTTCAGTGTTGTCATTTATTATTATTACTATCATCGTCTTAATACAAGGCTAGGATTGATCAATCCTAAATACCTAAATGTAATTGTGCCATAGCGTACTAAATCTAATGTGACTCCTTTTTCGGCAAAACATTTGGCCACAGGCTAAGAAGAAAGCTTTTTTTCCGGAAACCCTTTGTCAATAATTACAAATTTGCCCAATGTTTTAGCTCATGATTGTATTGTATGGAGTAGGCTGGATAATAATTTTTTTCTTTTGTAACTTTGACCATAAAGTGGTCTGAGTTCGAACCCATGAAAAAAATATTAGGTTATAAGTTAGCATTCATATGTAATATGTTTAAAAGAAATTATAACTGAAACGATATTTAAGTAGAAATGGTTACCCGAAAATGACCGACACTATCAAAGCCTCGAACTCACATATCAATTATGACAGCTTTCTCTCTCATTGGTATACTGATGTTTAGTGACAAATATTTCAAGGGTAGCTCAGATTTAGAAGAGAAGTGACTCAAAATTCAACAAAACCTACACCTAGTCACCAACGCCTACATATTTTTAACATCATTGCCCTCGATACAGACCAAGTTCCTTTTGCTTATTAGTTCGATAATGATTCCCATCAATATTAAATTTATCATCTTGTTTCAATAGAAGCAGAGAGTGGTGAATGAACACAGAAGAATTTTAAAGAGGTAAAGAAGATCGAGCGGCCCGCATATTTACTTCAAAGGAGTAGTAAATAGTAATTGACCAACAAATTATATACTCAATATTTTCATATCTAAATATACTAAGGATATATGTTGCTGTATACACTGATCATACATCTCAAATTATTACGAGTTTGTAGGAATTCTAAACATTATTTATCCTTATTGAGCTCTATCATGCTAAAAAATGTGTACAAGTCACAGCAACCTGCCCCTGGATGCAAGTGGAACCATTCGATTAAATCAACTAGTGACATGAAAAATCCAAGAAAAGAAGGAGTCAGACCATGTCACTTTTATTTGGAAAACTCTTCGTCGAACTATATCCAAACTGTAAAAGTGGGTTTAGAATTCAAATACAATGAGACTTTTGACGCGTAGGTAGACAACTATAAAATGCCCTGAAGTTTTAATGATGGAAATGTGGACTAAGAACCAGAAAGTTGATCTTTTCTGAGAATAGGTTGTTATTTGCTTGTTATTGTTGTGGAATTTACTTCACTTTGGTACAATAAGTCTGCAAACAATTTGAAATTATAATGCATTGAAATTATTATATTATCCTCTCGAACTCCTCTCTGCTTTACCTTGTAATTCTCTTTGTTCAAATTTAAGCCTAAAACGCATTTGCTGCACCGCTACCAATGCAAAAGCCAAAATAAGGTTAGTTTAAAAAACCAACCTACTAGTTTAGTTACAGTAGTTGGTTGTGATTTGGTGAAAAAGTGGTTGGATTAAGGTGAGACAAATCATTGAGTATCTCAAAGAGATCGTATTTGCTGTTCAATAATGAGGAGAAAAAATTATTTTAAATAGCACTAGTGAGGATAAATACGCCTCGTTATTTAGTTTTTACGCTGTTGGGTGTAGTTTATCAAATAGTTAGACCAGATTCAAGGCTGCTCTGAGAATAGAGCAGAAAATGTAGAAATGGCTATGACGCCTCAGCAATCCTTTATGACACGATTCACAGGCATAAAATTACTTTTATAATTAGTTCAAATGCCTAAACAGTATCGAGGAGGGTGAATGTATGAACTGAATAGCGCTTATTATAGCTTATGGCCCATGCCACAAAGCTTAGCCACTAAAATAACATTAGTGCTACTCTACGTCTTAGCAACGTTATGCGCTCCACACCCTTTAATTTACTCGATTTATAAACGAAGCATATATCCAAATTCACAACTTAATATTATCTATAAATAAATGGACGTAACAGCGTGAGGACCTTAACAGTAAGTGTTATTAAAAAGTCCTGTAAGGTATTGCAAGAATTAAAGTTTGTTTGTGCGGATGAATGACAGACAAAAGTCTTTTCCCTTCAAGCTGTGTGACCAAAGGATGCCCAAGGCTGCGGACTTTGAATCTTGTATTGGGATAAGAAAGCCCATGGATGAGCCCCTCCGGACAGTTTGAAAGTTATTGAACCGGTTGTGTTTTTATCTTCAGCACCATTGTCATAATGCCATGATTAGGATTTTTGTTAAGTCGGGTCTAAATAACCTGGTGCTCAGTTGCATTCATTGAGAATCAGGAACTCAGTAGCTGGAAAAACACTTACCTACACTAAAATATTGGCACATGTGACGCTAACTATGGGAAAAATTTGGCAGTGAACTCCATATGACGTAAATGAGTGCGAGATTTATTAACTTAAGCAATTTCTTCCCTAATTTGCAAATCAAGCTAGAAATGAATATTAAAGACTTATTGGATAAAATATCAGTTATAGGAACAGTGAACCAAGAAATACATACGCACAGTTTAAGATTGAAGTGGAGATAGGCTAACTTGATTCATCCAATCAGATGCTACAAATCAAGTTTGGATGATCTGGTAACCCGACAGATTAAACGGCATTCAAGATTAATAGTCAGAAGATCTATTTGTCAACTGCGTTAAGAAATCATTCTAATTAATTAAATTATTAATTAAGTAATATCTTATCAATAAAAGTTAAATTCTTACTTACTTTAATACTTCTCTTCTTGCCTTGGTACCAATCGCACCATAAATTACGAGGGTTCAAAAATTGTTTACACCCTTTTAGTGGTTGAGAATAGGCAAACCTTTTGATTTTATTAAGATAAAAAACACACACTCTAGGCAATTGCACAACTTTGCGCGCTAGGTCATCTTGAAAAGTGAAGTCAATTTTACAAACTGGCATGCATTTCTTGAGTATTTGATTGATCGGCACTCTCGAAGGCAATTCTTGATTAGCACAAGGCAGTTGAAAAAAAGAGAATTATGAAAATGAGGCCCAATAATAAAAATTTCAAATGTTTTCCAAATGCAAAAGTTACTTGCAGTAAAAAACCAACGGATTGCTGGTTAAATTTGACGAAGACTATGATGTAAGTATATTATTTACTGTAACAAAAGCATGTATTTCCTTATATCAAATGGCAGGCGTCTTGATGGTTATCATTAGTCCTTTAGTGGACTTCAGGCTTCACAGAGGGGAGGAGGTACATCAAAGTGAAAAAAAATCGAGAGGAGGGGGGGGGGGAACAGAAGAGTGTTTCAAAGATGTAATAGAGACATACACAAAGGTAGATGAAAGGTGAGGTGAGTACTGTGGAAGTAGTCAATATGATGGTAGTTTGAAGTCAGAAGTCAACTATCGGTTTATAGACTTTTTGCCGTATGAGTATACGTTGTCCAGGGCGCACCACGTGGAGGTAAGTCTGTCGCAGACCCCATAACTAAAACATAAGTTATACATGGTCTCCACTAAAGCAGATACTTGTATTTACTTGTTGGATCAGAAGTCTCGTGTAAATCTAATGGGTATATTATGTTTTGTAAAATTTCTTGACATGATCAAATATCCCATTTCCAGTTTTATCTCCACCAACCCGTTCAAATAATATTGTCACTTTCACAGCAGTGACCAGGCAACTCTTACTTCAATTAATCTCTGGCCAGCTTGTCATTCACAGTCGTTTCATTTTTCATTTATATACACCACCCCACGAACCTTCATTGTAGCACTCATTCTCGCACCATCGGTTAACTTATTGCTATTCTATGTGGAACTAAAAAAACAAATGTCTTATTTTTTTCCAATATTTGCTTCTCTATATCCACCCCTCCATTCCTCTCTTAGATTTTAAAGACCGCTGTCGTTATTGCTATAGACAATGCTTTATATTGAATATAGTCCTCTTGAACTAAGCCGAGACGCTGTGACGAATTACTTTCAAACAGCTCTATTTGAGAGTTTACCAGGTAGAGTTATGATCACTGAATTAAGTCAGAGGCCACGAGATGACATGAAAAGAAAGGAATTTCACTAAAATCGTCTGCTATCTCCTCAAAGAGAAGTTCACACACACTGTTTCAACTTGAACTATCTGAAATTGAAATGTTGAGGACATTGGCAAATACTGCCACAGTAATACTTGCTGCAATTCATATAATAGATTTTTATTGGCACAAGTTCAAGAAAATTTGAACATAGGATTAATCAAGTCAACATCCATTTATAAGTAGTGCAAATAGGGAAAGACGAGAGAAGAATAAATGTTCAATCTCGAAAAAATCATGCATGACTGCAGCCTTCTAATTCTTGCATAACGCGTAGAGCAATACTATCACACCAAGGTTTCGCGACTACTTGAATACCCACGTCTGCGCCTTGTGCAGAAAGTTGCTGTTGAAGTAACTGCCCGTAAAGTGTATTTAGTGGTGCCTTAAGTGTAGCCGCAGCCTCTGTGTCGCTTTTACTAACTTTGCCAAACGGTACAACGCCAACAGGGCAGTTGACAAGGTTGAAGAGAGATGTATAGCCAGTTTGTACAAAAGCTAAACTAGCCTGGGAATTCTTTTTCAAAGCAGAACTAGGTGCTACGGGCCCAACTAAGACATCAATTTCCTCATCAGTCCAGATCTCATTAAAGTTGCGACGATATGTTTCTAAGGCATCAGATATTTCCTCGGGAGATAGTGGCTTCTTCCATGCCTTCAGTAAACGCTTCATCGGTGAACATTTAGCCTTCTGTTGAGATTGAACCATCAGACTGAGGGGACCTCGTAAGAAGCCTGGAATTTTTGGAAGGGCACATTTAAACACCTCGTTCCAGGTCAAACTGTTTCCATTATGTTTAAATACAAGCACATCCCAGAAGCTTTCAGAAGTTAGAAGAATTTGGCAGACTAAATCTAGTGCTGTTTCTGGATCTGGTAACTCGACGTCAACAACATTGTGTCCTAGAGACTTCAAGGCTTGAGTCACTTCAAGCATCACACGATGAATCGCAGGGGTAGACGGAATGACTTGTGGCAAATTTGAGTAGACACCAATATTGAGAGGTCCTTTAGAAGTTGATGGTTCAAATTGCATAAATGGAAGAGTTGAATCCAGTTGAACAGAAGTGAGTGCTTTCATAGCATCAGAAATAACAGCAACGTGTAAACCTAGTATACCAACAGTTGGAGGTAAGAATTCGGGAAGATTAACTGCTTTCACAATTCCTTCAGTGCTCAGGCGTTGAGCAGTGGGCTTGAAACCAACAATGCCCAAATTCATTGCTTCTAAACGCACTTCTCCTAAGATATCCAGACTGAATCCAAGATGAGCACCTTTCTGTTTTATGAGCATAGCTACTGAAGATGCGCCTACAACACGATCTGGATAAAATGGGTGTGTCACTGGCCCATAAAGGCGACTTGCTGCATCTGGTTCTCCGGGCAACAGAGCCGTTTTAGCAAAAGCCACTGGAATAGCACCAACTTCGCGCAGATTTCGAACAAGAGTACAGTCCGATCCTGCAGTTCCACAAGCTTTAAATACCGCGGAAGCATTACAGTCTTCACCCTTAACTCTAAAGTGATTGGAGAGACATACTGGAATGCCATGCAGCGGGCTGATGGGCTTGCCGTCTCTTTTCAATGCCTGATCAATGACAATTGCTGTGACGTCAGCGTCAAAGACAATTTCTGCAACAGAACTGTTCTTCGCTTGCATCAAACGTAGGATATGAACCTGGAGAGCTTCAAGGGCATCTAGCGCAGTAAGTTTCTTTGAATCCAAAATTTCATGTTGGAGTTCACTTAGAGAGAGTGCTTGCACTTTCTCCACATTATCAAGAGGTGTCTTCAGACCACACAATTTGGCAGAGAAACTACTGATCACACCCTGACGCTGTTTAATCTTCTTCTTAAGGTGCTTTCGATCTTTGCGTAACTTAAACAGTTTGAAACCAAGGCGACCACAAATCCAAAGGGGGAAGATAATGTTTGCAGTAAGATTTCTGTGGAAAAAATTCTGCACATATTGCAATGTAGGGGAAATAAATGAAGAGGCAGCAGCTGGTAAATTGAAGCTCACAGCGATATAAGCACAGCTCACTGTATCAAGGACGATGCACAAGGCAGTCAAACATAAGCTCATTTCAATTATCTATAAATAAGGCAGAAAAACAAACTCAGATAGCGACAACAATTTCGTCAATTAACATGAACGTATATTGCATTCTAAGATTCAAGATAACGAAAACATGAATGCAATGCAATTGACTAAGTATTGAAAAACTCCAATGGTTGTAAAATAAAATGCGTAAAATACATTAAACAAATTATTGCATTTCTGAATATTTAAGTATAAGTAAATCAAAAATTTACATGAAACATGTCAATTTAATATTTTTCAAAAAGTAATAAATTTATCTAATAGAAGCGCTTTTTAAACCTGATTGATTACCTTCCTGGTCCAAAGAATGTGTAGTCTATCAAAACAGCGCTAAAGCAAAGCTAAGATGCTTGTGATTTATTAAAACTAATTGATTACTAGAAAAATATTTTTAACATACATTTAAAACATAAAAATAACTGAAATTGTTACATAATTATATTAAATATTGTTCAATTTAGGTACCTAATTTTAAAGTTAGCGATTTTAATATCATTAATATGTTTGTCTTCAGAGTCAAATAGACTTAAAATTTTTATGTACCGTTTTGGCTTTAACGCCATGTAAGTAGATAGTTTTGGGTATAAGCACTTTAGTATGTCTTATGCTCATTTGCCTCCTTGAAAGGGTTTAATAATTTGGTTACATATTACACGTGCCGTATTTCATGCACATTTAATTTTCCTAAAATTTGAAATTCATTAGAATTTTTCAAATTAGGTCAGTTTTTTCACATTCAAGGAGTTTAGAAATTCATTGCATTTACTGAAAATTTTTTTAAATATAACTTTTAAAATGTTTGGCAAGGCCGTGTTTTTCCTAGCGTATTGATGAGGCCTCAATCAAAAGATGTCCTGAAGCTAAAGCACGTGGCTCACTTTTGAGATAATAGCAATAATTATCGATTGCAATAATATAAAATGCAAAGAAATTCTAATTTTTGGAAGAAAATAAAAATAGTTGACAGAAAGTTCAACAAATTATAACATTTTGGGAACATAACATGCTTAAAACCAGTCCAGAATTTCAAAAAGCCATGCGTTAGTGACTTTTGAACTTGACCTGTTCTTGTTCGTGGACCAATACTCAAAGTCTGTTGTGCATCCCCACAATTTCAGAGAGATTCTTGGATTATATATTTAGTGCTTGATGACCGAATTTGAGATTAAAATTGATCTTTTGTATGTTCTGCTATTTTTTCGAAATCATTGAGGAGTTGAAGTGACTATACAAGACTTTCATATGGGAAAAATAAGAAATAATAATTGTGCTTATTTTTCGATTTGAGCCATGGATAAAGGTTTGGTCTACCATTTGACTAATATTTTAAGCAATTGAGATTTCATACTCAACTTTGAGATCAGAAAACGTATACTCAGTAGGCCAGTTAAGGACAAATGAACATACAAGTCCACTCTCAATAAGACCGATAGGATGGACCGAAAATTGAAATATTTCCCCTCATACGATGCTCTTAATATCAACTGGGATACATCCACGTGCTTAATCTCATATATGACATCAATTCGATAAATTGTGAAATGCAAATTCTATTTTTTCGAGTGGTAAAATCGATTATTCTACATTGCCATTTTCATATTAAATTTATTCACTTATATGGATTCTTCAGCAGTGGAGTTATGAATTCAAAACGATAGAAAGCATTTGTTGGACTGGTGACTCATGTTATTTGATCAGCAAAAATGTGAGTGGAAAGCCAGCTCAAAATTCCTGGTAAACAAATAAGGGCAAACATAAAAGCAATTATTCATTTGATCTCAGTACGTCTGATCGTTTGGTCAATGGGCGCTATGAATGGCATATGTAAAAGCATCTATGCGAAAACTTCCAAAACTGGACTTCTGTAGATGCTGATGTAGAAATCTTACCGTTGTCAATCACTAGATGTTGATTGACATCTGCCTTCCAACGAAGTATCCTTTGTTAAATTTCAGTTAATCGTATTATTGTTATTTAATCTCTAAGGATCATCATCCCAAGCAGTTTCGTGTTGAATGAAATGGCTAAAATAACAAAGGTTATATTAATGCAGCGCATCAACATTTTGTTTAGATAAGGTAAAATAAGTAACTTGTTTGTTTTTTAAATTTAAGTCGTAAATAATCAATGGTTTTAAACTGATCAGAATAATAACTACACTGAGTTTTGGTAGTAACATAGGCTGAATGCGATACATTTTATTACCAATTGCGTATTGCATAATGGTCTATATCCATGTTATAAATCATTTTATACAATATTAAAATTTATTGATTATGATTACATCTAGCAACTAATTTGGCACTTCATGAAAACTTTTCATCGGTAAAACAAATTTTTCCTTAATATTTCAACTAAAATTTATTTTAAAATTCGTTTCTTGCTGAGTGTACTCGCATCCCATAATTTATTGCCCTAGAAGGAAAAGTACATCTAGTGAAACATTAAAATGATTTCAGGTTTCGAAGAAATCGAAATAAGTGTAAAGAAATTTTGAATTTATTTAAGTGAACAATTAGTGATCCATTATTTGAAAAGAAAGTTCATGAAATAATACAATTGGAAACTGCCCTTATATTCGGTTATGAACAAGCGAATGTTGGTGTACTGGTAGCTCAGAGGTGAGATTTTTGAATGATAGATTGAACAACTGAATTGAGTTAATTGCGGTCAACCGAGGGACGCAAGTGATCTACTTGAAGCCTTTCATTGGAACATGTTGGTGTGTTAGCGGCACCGTGATCGATGTAAACAACGATCAAGTTATGGTATGCATGCTCTTAGAGTTAGGAATTAATTCTTGTCAACATTATGAGGATAGTAAAAGCTGTTACCAAGCACATAAAGACCTTGACTACGGTGTTTGAAGTAAATAGCTCTCTAATCCCTAAGTCTGACCTATATTTTGCTACTTCGGAGCACTTTTTTCAAAATAATATTCTCCCAAGCACTTAAAGTAATGAATAGTGATTTTTTTCCAATGCAAGCTCTTCCTCTGTTATTTTAATAGGTTAGTTAACCCTCTCAACTTTTAATGATTTATGCCTGGAGTCAACCTTTCCATCAAGGCCAGCAAATGATTTGTTGCATGGAAATGGACTTTCCCGATGTCAAGTTTGTTTACGGGAATAAAATCCGTCTCCTTTTTTAGATGAGGGGATAATAAGAGGGTAAAATGTGGAAAAAAGGTAATACTGCGTATATGTCTGAGAGGGAATATTAGAAATTGGCGAACATTTTAGTTATTTATTTTTGATTTTGTTAAATGACTTGCTTTAAACACAGTAAATGTAGACGAATAGGAAAAGATGAATCCCAAGCTAGCAGTATTCATCGCTTCTTGGAAATCAATATTCCAGTGAATTTATTAACAGTTATTTTCATGCAAAAATATTACTTCTTTGTTCTCCTATTTGACGTAATTTATCCACGAATCCGAGGATGAAAATTATTGGTTTTCACTAACCTGGGCTGACTGGTTTGTTTGTTTACATAAAATATGCATAAAAATGCCCCATATTTGGTAGGAATTAGGATAATGAAGCTGAGTCATGAGATAGTTTATAAACCCACGTTGCAGAAAACAGTCTTGCAAAAAATAAAACGAATATAAAAACGGAAAGTGAAATTTAGTCAGAATATTGAGACCTATGAGACCTGGAAGCATTAACTTCTCCAATTCGCTTTAGGGCATATCATTCGCTTCGTAATGCCGAAATCATTCCAAGTAAATAAACGCAACTTGGCACTTATAAGAATCTAGAGAGGCTACTGCCTGCTACGTGCCACGTTGATTAAGCTAGAAAGCGGTGGAGACGAACAAATCTGTTTTAAACACCAAGAGGCTTACTGAAAGTGCGCTTATATTTATAAATACAAAGCAAAACATACGGATATTGTCGATGTATGAACTGTATGGGCTTTTAATTTGATCTGCCAGCAAAGCAAGAATGAAAGTTTTCTCGCAACGGGGTTATGTCGATATAATAAAAGTATAAAATAACCCACGACGTGAGAAGATCCATAAAGTGACCTACAAGGGAAGCTAGATAAGTTCCTAATATGAAAAAAGACCAATTAATTCAAAAGCGTCTCTATAGCAACCTAAAACTTACCACCAACAAGCATCCGAACTTCGCTCCCACGTTTTCTTATCACTCGACCTTGAAATACCCTCTACAATTACATGCAGTGAAAAGAGTTGTTACTACAAAATTTTCACTCCCGTTAAACGTTTAGATTTCTATACACTTAGTAGAGTAACCAAATTGGGAATTCAGTTTGGTCTTGAATGCGAAATCTATGACGTTCTCACTTCAATAACACGTCTTCTCAATAAATAGACGGAGATAGAAAGCTTGTTTTCTTGACAAAATTTACAGTTTGTTGAACTTTCTCCATCATTATTGGCAAAAATGTTAATCTCTTCAGCAGTTTATTTGCTCCTATTAACGACTGGGATATCGGCTTGTAAATTATCAAAGACAGGCTATTTTTGGTTTTTGAATTCATCCAGTTTCAAGTTTTTGTTTTCAGCCGCGATAAATAAAATGGGGAAATTATAATATAATAAGTTTTATTTATTTCAACTACTAAGTCATGTAAAAGAGTATTTTCAGCAATGAAGTGATGGTGGGGGTGGAGTGGGGTGGGTGGGGGGGGGTAGTTGTGGCAGAACTCAAGTTCATTTGTAAACATTTATTTGTTTATATCAAACGGGAGGCTTTATGATAGTTATCATTAGCCCTTTAGTTGACTTCAGGCTTCACAGAGGGAGAGGAACATCAAATCAAAAAAAAGTCGAGAGGGAGGGTGAACAGAAGAGTGTTTTAAAGATGTAAAAAAGACAGACACAAAGGTAGAAAAAAGGTGAGGTGAGCACTGTGGAAGAAGTCGACAATGACATACAGTGAGGAGATGGTAGTTTGAAGTCAGAAGTCAACTGGCGGTTGTTAGACTTTTTTGCCGCATGAGTATACGTT